AGACATAATGTTAACAACATTTCCGTTTAATTTTAAGTAAACGAAAAGCTTGAGTATTTTACTACAGTCATGGATATAGCCAGCGCAACGACGAGTTTCCATTATTCTGACATGGGAAAAAAAGTTTAGGTGAAGTAAGACCCAAAATAGATATTTTGACGTATTACGAAGACAAGGAAAATTGGTTTCTCGATATTAAAAATACGAATTCAACTTGTTTAATCATTGTTAATGACAACAGAAGATACGAAGTGAAGTATGGGGCTCGAAACACAACTGAAAAAAATTGCAAAATTTTCATTTTTTACTACGTTCATCTACGGAAAAATCAGTTTTGTTATATCGTTATTTGGGACATTTCAATGAATATTTTTGTTCCTTATTAAATACGTCAGCTGACTATATAAGCTTATGTTACAGTACTTACTCGTAAGAGGGTATATTTTATTTCTAAAAAGCAAATGTTTAAATATCACTGTCTACGTCAAACGCTTCAAAGTTTACGCAACTACGATACCATTTCGCCTTAAAGAAAAATACTACCGTGAAAGAACGATCATGTTCCGTATCGATTTAATTACGCGAATTTATAATGGTAGGTAGATGCGATTGATATCGAGTAATGCACAGGTGCCAGCAAGAATGTAAGATTACCTCAACATCGTGGTAAAGAGTGTAACTTGTATTAAAATAAGAAACCACCACGGCAAGTTATTCAACTGTTGAAAATAATAATTGTCATATTGTTCGTGCTTGATAGTGTTTTTGTTTGTGGTAATCATTGTTTCAGTGACAGTCTGTGGTTTTCGGGGTTTTCAGTGGTTATTGTTGTGTATAAGTAATAAAAGACCGAGTCAATACAACATTGTGGTGTTAACTATGAATAATTCACCGACTGATTCAGTATCAACTTTCGGTAAAAATTTACTCCGCGTCACCTTTTCAAAATATCCACACTACGCCACTGACACTTAGCTGCCTCCGTGGCCGAACGGTTACCATGCCGGACTGCCACGCCGAGGTCCCAGGTTCAATTCCCGGGCCGGGAGAAATATTTGTATGGCCTACTTTTAAATCTCTTGTGAGTTTGCGTGTAATTTGTGGTTGTCTATGTAACCGCGACACAGGGTTTCTCTAGTGCGGGGCTATGTAGAGTGTGTGCGTTATTATTCCGTCTTGAGCATGTGACAGTTAACTATTTGTCACATGACGTGATGTCATCAGATATTAGAACTCGTTTTTCCATCCTTTATGAACTCGAGTCTGTGTAAAGGGTCAAAACATGAAGTGTATAACCAGAAATAGAGACGAAATAAGGCCCATCCATCCCTAGTAACACATCAGTCAAATGGTACTGATATCACTTTTAAATATGAACTGTAATATGTTATTTTTCAATTTTCGTTAATTATAGCAAAGCTCAAGTTAAACTGGACAGACGTCAATTGTTTCGAATTCGGGGTGACCAATCGGAGCGCAGGTGTCACCGTAAATGATATGGCAGAATAGTTTTCAAACAAATTAAATGACATTTCGTCTCTATTTCTGGTTATATACTCGATGGGTCAAAAGCATGTCAAGTTTGACACTTAACATTTAAATTCAACTCTATGATTCTCGCGATAAGGACGTCTCAAAGTCCAAAGTGTCCAGCTTAATATGCTCTTGACTGTATCACTTTTCTGTAGTATTCCTGTTTTTTCAGATAATGTAATTGAAAAATTTTTATTGACTTGATATTCCACTACCAACCACTAGTTTGTTATAATTAGATCAACTCATCACTCAGAAAAAATTCCGTCGATCCGGTCGGATGCGAACCGACGTCCTCTAGCATGAGCCGTGGCGGTTAGTTGGTATGGCGTCTGGCACGGTATGCTAGAAGACGTCGGTTCGAATCTGGCCGAATCGAAGGATTTTTTCTGTGTATTCGATCTTTGTATTAATAATTATAATGTAATATTGTTCTATAGATAGAAGGTTTATCTGAAGACGATACTTATAGGCGATTTAAGTAATCCAAATCTCTTTATAAAATCTTAAATAGGCTGTTTAGTTCTAAGTGGGCGGCCAGTAATGGTGTAATTTTCGACTTTTTCTTTAGAGAAAAACCCACAAAAGAGGGATGTGTTCCGTTGGTGGTTGTATTACAATAAATCTAAATATAGGAGATTAAGAGGAGAAAAGCCGTGGCAGCCTAATGGTTTGATCCGCATTTCAAGCAGAGGCCGTGATTTCGAATCCGTGCTCGCGTTTCCAATTTTTCAGAATTTATGTGTGAAATTTAATTTGAAATTTACCATGAGCTTTTTTTTTTTTGAAACCTGCACGTTGAAGAAGGTTCACTACCCTCGGAAAATGTGTGACGTCCACAACCCGCATTGGACCAGCGTGACGGACTGAACCAATCCCTCGTCTGAGAAGAGACCCGTGCCCAGCGGTGGCACTTTTACATATATGGGTTGTTGTTGACGATGCTGATAGGAGAATAGGAGTTACTCAGGCATTTCAATATTCATATGTGGGGCGCACTATAAGTTTCCGGAATGAAAAGAAAAATATACTATAAATGGTCCGAAATGAATTTATTGTTTCTCAAAATATTCTCCGTTAGCGTTAATGCACTTTTTCATACGAATGAACTAATTTTGAAAAAAAATATGCTACTCCTCCGTGACAATCTCTGAAACATATTCTTCATACTCTTCGACAGCCTCTTCAGGTGATGAAAATCGTTGACCTGGTTGAAGTGGTTCTTAATTTATAGAAATAACTAAAAGTCACAAGGTGCCAGGTTGGGACTGTACGCGGGATGGCTCATAAGGTCAACGTTGTTCACCATCAAAAATTCATTTGTCTGTCTCGCCGTGTGAGAACTGGCATTATCGTGATGCAAGATGATACGGTGTTTACGATTATTTTTACGGAGTTTGTCAACAACTTCCGCCAAACAAATGGTCGTGTACCAATCACTATTCACGGTACAACGGTTCTCCAAAGCAACAATAGCCACGTGTCCAGTTTTATTAAAAAAAGAAGCAATCATCCGCTTAGAGGCACTTTGCACGCGCGCCACTTCGGTTGGTTTCGGCTCATTTCGAAAGGCGCATACGCTCGATTGCTGCTTTGTTTTGGGAAAATAACACACGACCGCGTTTGAATTCTGCAAATCAGCTATAAATAGTCGTCTCGCATGGTGCTTCATCGCCAAAAGCAGTTTGAAGCCGAGCGAAGCTCCGCTGAGCTGTTAAATTGCACTTAAAGTCGTAGAAAATCATACAACGAAAATTTTCACGAGTTAAATCCATGATGATGTAGACCACCAATTTCTAAAATGACGCCACAATGTAAAAACAAGTGACAGTCAGACGAAACAAACTGTATTCTACACCCAAAGAGTTCCATTTTCAAATGTTATAATTTTTTTTAAATATTGTTAATGTAAGTGGCTACTTCCGGAAACTTATAGTACTCCCTACGTTTTATAAATGGCCCGTACTATCTGTGAGATTTTTAAGCAGTTTATAAAGGGTCCCCTATACTAAAAGTTCTTCCTATTGACGGATAGAGTCACCCAGACCTTTCAAAGTCTTTCTGCTCACAGATCATTTATGTATTTTGATGGTATAACGTCCGTTAAGAACAATAAATGAATAGATCATAACCCAAGTTTACAGTTATGTTTCATTAATTGAATAACTTATTTTCGTTCTGCCATTAATTGTATTGGATGTTACCTATACTGTTAATGGGAATTATAATATACATAATATTACTGGGATAGTATACAAAACAACACATATTTTTCTTCAAATTAATAAAAATGTGTAATACCAAGCGTACCGAACAACTCTTTCTTTTAATTCTTGGTAAACTTAAATGATATTTAGAATTAACAAGAAGCTGTTCATATATCTATTTGCATACATTATTCATTTTCTACGTCTAACGTATTAAGTTAGACAAAAACCTTGAAGGATTAGTTCTAGTTAATTTTTTTTCGCTTTTGCGAATGAAATCTGCTCTTATTCTTCTAATTCAATGAATTGTGAATTAGATAACAATAGACAACATTTAGTAGCATTAGACAACATTTAGTAGCAGTAGAGTTAGTAGCATTAGACAACATTTAGTAGCAGTAGAGCTCTTTGTGAAAAAGTTCGTCCAGGGAAGTACTGCCACCTTATCTATTTCTAAATAATGTCAGTATTACTGTGTTTCGGTTTTGAAAGGTAAGTGTGCTGGTGAAATTACAGGCACATAGGACTCGTCAACTTTTGTCTCAGGGTGATGGGCGCAGTGCCAATACGCCTCAGATCTTTGCGATTTAAAGAGCTGAGTGGCACTGCAACTGTTATGGACAGGCGTGTAGCTTACCACCAGGCACACGACTTGCTCGTTCCGTCACCTGATATTATGAAAAAAAAAGACAAGACAACATCACGTACGTTGTTGTTGACATGAAGCTTGTGGTGCGAATGGAAATTGGGGGAAAACACTTCGCCGGTATCAAGATGCCATTGGCAATTCATATTAATTACACCTGTACTCATAAATGTTGTGAGTACTTATAAAAAGATAACGACAATAAGTGTTTACTATTTACTTTACAAGTGGTTGAAGTGTCATTAAATGTTAATACAATTCTTTACACGACTCAAACTCAAGATTTTTGCTATATTTTATATTATATCAAAAATCAGCTAATGTACAAATAACCTTAATATAGTTTCTGCTTTTACTATTTATTTTTGATAAACAATCTATTTTATATTCGCTAGCTAATGACTGACACTAGTTTATTTTACAAGTTTTCAAAGGAACACACGGATTGTTTGAATCTTTTACAATATTTAAGTAAACTTCTAATTATGAATATAATTAGTAACCAATATAATTATATAGCAAGAAATTTTAAAGAATTCAGTTCATAAATTCTTGTTAGGTTAATTCTATCTTAACAAGGAGATATTATGACCAGTTATTTAAATTGTACTCACCTTTAAAATATTCTACAAAATATCACTTTCTCAGAAAGTCACAGAACATTGTCACTAAAACACAAGAACGACTATACATAAATATTGTCACTGTTCTATTGAAAATTAATTCATGGAATATAAATTAAAAACTTTTATTGCTTCAGTACAGTTTTCCTTTTTTAAATCGGAATGTCATCGGTTGCAAATTTATCTAAGCGGAAAATCGCGCGGCGCGTGCGATTCGGTTCGCGGTCGAGACGTCAGAGCGGCAAAGCCTCCGCGGCTTCTATATAAATACGCACCCTTACAAATTCTTTGTGTCAGAGAAGCTATGCTAATTAATTCCAGTTAGAACGAAATTTCCTCAATTTTCCTTTCTCTTCTTCATGTGTTAAACAATAGCTGTAGAGCTCCTTATTAAAGAGTTCGTCCAGGAAAGTACTAAGAACTTACCTATCCCTGCCGCCAAGCAGTAATGTGATTGTGAGCATTACTGCGTTCCGGTTTTTAACGGTAAGGGTGCTGGTGAAATTAGGCAGGTAGATGAGACTTGTCAACTTATGTCTCAGGGTGATGACGGGCACAGTGCTCCTCAGATCTTTGCGATTTAAAGCTCTGAGCGGCACTGCAATTGTTATGGACAGGCGTGTCGCTTATCATCAGTCGCATGACTTGTTCATCCCGTCACTTGGTATAATATAAAAAAGATTTCGCTACATTCTTTGTCTCAAGTCTGTAAAACATTTGTTTTGTAAATCGAAATGAAACTTGAAGTTAACGATTGTCAGTGTTAAGGACACTTTCATGTCCTTTAGTTTACCGTCCTTTGGTTTGAAGAATAAACTATGCCTACCTAATACTCATAATAATATGATCCTACCGCATACTGTTATGGACAGGCGTGCCATCAGGTCCCTTCAGTCAGGTCCCTGCACTTAGTATCATAAAAAAGATTTTTTTACGGTAAATGGATGAAATCAAAAGTCGTAGGTAAAAACAAAGAATTTGAAATCAGAACTCATTAAAATTCGTTTTAATTTGTTGATTTAAGGCAGTAGTAATAAATAATTCGATACACATAACAAACGCATACTTAGCAATAGTGCAAGATTATTTTGAGAAATTCCTTTTAACAATTGTTGCATAAGTTTATGTAGATAGGTTTTTGAAGCAACATCTACTGCTACATTTTGTATATATGTATAAAATTAAGAAGCGTAGAAAAGATGAATGTATCTTTGTGATCAGTGTTATAGTAATTAAGAATAGATTTATATGGGTCTCCCACGGGATTGCGAATGCCGATTACGCGAATTCATGACGATAGTGCGAAGCTGTATGCGCGAGGGCTTATTTTCACGAATGGTCAGTTGCGCGATGGTTGGTTCATTTGCGTGAATCACGATAGCATGAAGACAGATTTGTCAAAGCTGGAATGCGCAAATGATGAATCCTACGATGGTTCAGTTAATTGATCAAACAAAACCATTTTATTATATAAATAAACATGAAAAATCATATAAAAATAAATAATTGAAATAAAAATGTTACAAATCATCAATTTCCCTTCCTGTGTAAATGAAGGGAAAAGAATTCCAGACTATTGAAATCTCAACTAAAACTTGCGTGAAACAAATGTTGAATTTGATTGTTTCATTGTAAATACACACATCAAAAGTGTCTAGGGATCAAGTACGTTTAAGAGTATTG